CGTACGTCCCTTTCGCCGTGTCTCATCCTCCTACCTTAAGCCCTCTCATTCATTCACCTATCTCTCTATCTATCTATCTATCTCTGTCTCTCTGTCGCTGTGTATGCACGCCCCCCTCTCTTCATATTCATCCTAAATCTAATGGCCTCTTTCTCTAAGTGCCTTTTTACATGAATAATTGCGTTAATGTTAAGGCCCTATAAATGAATATTATGTTATGATGGTAATATAATTTTTAATATAATAAACAGCAAGTTTCATGAAATAGTATCATAATTAATTATATTTATTTCTTGTAATATTAAATGTAAACCATAATAATTTAGTTAACAATTTAAGGAAATTAAATATTTTAATAAAAGGTATATTTATAATATGTATTTATAATATTTGAAAATATATTTGTAAAAAAAATAATATATATTTTGAGTTATTGAGTGAATAGTTTGATAGTAATAGTACATCAATCATATCGACGTATCATACATTTATATATTTATTCAACAATAATTTAGAGGAAATAAAATTTTATCAATGAAAAATCTATTGCCATTGAAATTCCAAATATTTTTCATTGGATATCTACGAATTTTATTAATTGATGAAAATAAAGTATACGAATTTGAATAGCTTATTCCATTAAGTATTACAATTACAAAATACCTTATGTAAATAAAAACATAAAAAAGCAATCTTATTTCCGCTTAGAAATGAAGATAATTATAAATTATACTATCATTGAAACAACGCAATTCTCAATTTTAAAGAACATATTCATTTAAACATGTAAGAAGCTTTGCTTAGTACTCTCAATATAATATTATTATAAAAAAATACGTGATAGTTACATATTTCATATGTAAGTAAACAATCATATAAATTTTTGAAAGTTGAAAAAACTTTCCGTAATCTACTATTTGTGATAATTTAGTTGAACGAAAATCTTCTTTCAACAAATAATATCTATTATACAATAATGTTATCGTGTGACATGTCACATATATGTTTGGTGCGTTAATAATATATGAAAAATAATTCATATATTACTTTAATGTCAATTATAATCAATTTTAAATATACAGACATATTAATCCTTTATTGGACCACATTTTATTGTTCAACAGTTATCAAAATATAAATTATTGTTCGAAAATTATATTTCTCTCCTCAAAATTGTAGAGCATATTCGAGAATATGCATGAGAATAATTTATTGCAATGTATAAAATAATTGTTAAGTGTAAAATGAAATTGTCTATAAAAAAACTAATAATAATTGTATAAAAATAATTTAATTCAATATTTTAATAACAATAAATCAGTTGCTCAAAAGGTACTAATGCTAATAAATAATTATTAGAATTGATATTTGTGTATTTATCACTAGTAATACGAATGGAAGTACAATTATTTAATTTTATGATAAAAAATTCGCTGATTGTTGTATTAGATTTAACTGGACAACATGTTATTAAAAGTTTATGGAAAAATTATAATGTTATTCAAATACTTATGTAAAGTATAAAATAAAAGTTATTGGCCGTACAATAACATTTTACATAAAATAATAAAGTAAATTTAATCAATTTGTCTAACCTATAAATATCTAGTATTCTGTATCTCTATCATATTAATACAATTTTAATATTTTCCAATTTGAAATACTTCTACCTGATTACTAATAAACTATGTATTGCTCTATTTTTAACGAAAACAATAATAAATCAAGTTCATAATAATTATATTAAAATCATTATTCGTCTATATGAGAGTATAAATTACTCAAATCTACTAGAAATTCAATTTTCATGTTTAGTTGCAAAAATAATTGTAACATGATTAACATAAAGTAAGACAATAACAGTTCCACAGCATAATTATAAATGATAATTATTTGTATTCCAAAAATCTATTAAATAAGAGTTAATATGAACAGCAAATAGAATTTTCGTATCTAACAGAAATAAGAAATAATGTAAAAGTATCTAATAATATAAAGTGTTTAATATAAAACTAGAAATATAAATACAAAATTTGTTTGATACTAATTTATAAAAAAATAAGGCTGTACATACAATCTCCTATAATTACGAAAACTTCCGAAATGGAACCAATTTCAGATATTCAATCTAAATGTTCCAAAAGATAAAATACAAGTGATTAAAAATATCAGATTTGTCAATAATTTGTTGATACAATAATTATGTTATTATAATTTGCAGAAAGCACAATTTTCATTAAAAATGAACGATATTATAAATATATCACGAATGTCTCTTTGTCACTATTCTATTCCATGTGAAAGGGTAATATATTTAATTTTCATTGCGTCTATTACATTAATGTCGTGAGAAAAAACGCCGATGATTATTTAATAAAAAGAAAAACCTCTTTCTATAATTGAAATAATTCGATTTAACTTTTATAAATAGAGCTATTTCTATAAAAAAAAATAAAGCACTTATAATACTCATATCAAAGAAATACTTAAATCTAAGAGTTTTAACTCTAATAAATTTAATGATGAAATTAAACGAAATTGATGGTTATAAACTTTTAGAACCGAAGTCGTAATAGTTTATCTTTATTAACTCTTCTTTGGTTTGTGGTTTCAATTATATTTAATTCGATAACAATTTTTTTAATCGAATAAATATTAGGCTAAATAAAAGAATGATATAAAAAAAATTGAAATTTATATATTGAACATCATGATGAGTCTAGTATATATGAAGAAAATTATTAATACATTAATAAATTTAAATTTAATTTAATTTACTATTTATAAAAATCCAAGCAACCTATTAATAATTTCGTATCTGAAAATAAGTTCTCTTTGAATTCAAACTATCGCACAGCATGCGAGTGCAAATGTGTCTATGCTGTATATAAATATCTAAATGGATTATTTAATTCTTAACTTGAGTATTTAATAAGTAAAACTTAAATTACTATAATTATTACATAGCGAAATCGCCAATGTTCAAGATATTGATTGATATAAATCAATTAATAAAATGGAGAAAATTAAATTAGATCAAATGCATATGTTTCCCATATAAATGCTTATTTAAATCACATTTCTTATTTGCAAATAAAAATTGAATACACTATTAAGTAAACACTTTTAAATCTATTTATTTCTGACCAGCGATTTATATGTTTTGTAAATAATGATCATTTATATTATTTTTGGAATTGTATAGAAAACATTTCTATAAGCTCCATTTCAGTAGGCTTAAAGCGAACACTTTAATTTAAATAAATAGAATAACATTTCATTTTAATTCTAAATTTTTAGCTATTAATATTTTTATCGAAATTATGATTTTGAAATGGATCAGTGTTCATTAGGTGTCCATTTATAAATTATCCATTATTAATGAAGTATTGTTTTGTTTGAACGGCACTTATAAATATCGAAATTTTATTAGTGGCGCACTTAAAAAATACTACATTAGTCGGGCAAATGAAAAACGTACAAGCCAGATATGGTATAAGAAAATTATTATTTAAATATTAATTTTGTCG